GCATCCAGTTTTTGTACTGGTAGAATATTACCGCAGTAGCACTCTGTGCTAGCGGTTGTCTATGGGCCATCAGATCAAGCTCAATGAGTTCACGGTGGCTCAAAATATCTCACAGTTTGATTTTGGACGGGTGCCTGGCCGTCTCTGCTGTTGGGGCGTTGTAGCCATCTGACGTTCACACACGCCTTTTTCGGGCGGTAGAATACTTTCGTTAGACCACAAAGTGTGCTTCAATATACTTTTTTGTTGTATAGGTATGTTATGTTTTGGGATGAATTGTAGTGATTTTCGCTGCTTTTCCCGTAGTTCTTGCATATTTTTTTTTAGGCGGAGGACCCCAAATTCCAAAATTTTGTCGAAGATAGTGGTGCAAAATAGACTGATATTTTCTTAGATAATCCTGATGTATCGTTTGGCTAGTTTTTAGCTAGATCGGTGACGATTGTTGTCCATTTTTGACAACCACCCGTTTGACAACTGGTGCAGGGCCCTTTTTGGCCGAGCCCAAGCTTATCAATCAGGTTTATCTCTTGCTCTCTCTGGCTTCGTTAGCTGATATAATTGCGCTTTGCTCAATCCTAACTGCTTGCAGATGAGCTGCTGAAGCTCTCCAGCAAAAACCATGCCGAAAGTCCGTTTACAAAGTTGAGAACGGGAGTTGATTTACCATGGTTGCCTATTAGTGGCTTAACCCTCGCCGGCCGAGGGAGGGGGGGGGCGGGTGCCGCCCCCCCCCATAGGGGTTTTCGCGATAGCTCCGAACACGCTGGCGATAGAGAGCTGAAACTTGGCATACCTGACCTTTGCACTGCACGGTCTTCAGATGTCGCAACTTCGCAACGCCCTCACTGCCAGAGGAGATGTCACAGGGAAATGAAACTTGCAGGATCTAGTATCCATCATGAGTCTCACAACTTGTATATCTCGGATTTTTCCCAACGGTCATATGAGGTCAGGTCATTTTCGTGACCTCACCACTATAAGTCAATGGGGAAAAATAAAAACTGCTATTCTGGCGCCGGGAACGATCTCCAACTATCTCAAGCACACAGAATCGTGATTTGATGCACTTCTTGCAAGGTTAGATGCGCCACTTTTGCAATGTTGACCTTTCGTGACGTCATTTATGACGTCATCAAGGTCATATTAGTTTGTCGTCAATAACTCTTGATCAAATTGAGCTAGCGAGTTGGGAAAGCCACCAATGGACTCAGGAAGACCTGCCGAATCGAATGATATGCGACATGACCTTTTCCGACCAACTTCGTGACCTGGGGGTGCTGACCTGACCTTGACCTGAGGTCAACACCCCAAGTTGACCTGACCCGAACAAAAAGTATATCATTCGACGCGCCTGAGCGAGACGAACACGATGCTGCCAAAATCGCGGCTCTGCGGCCGTTTGTTGCGAAGTTATTCACCAAAAACTGAACCGTACCTTGGGGCACTTGACCTGAGCTCAGAGGTCACCGGTTGACCTAGGACCTTAAAATCGGGTACCAATCTCTGCGTCTCGTAACGACGCACACGCTCGTTTTTTCCGCGACGCGCTAGCTCTACCAGGAGCGAAACGGCGAGGGGGGTCGTACTCGCCCCCCCCCCCCCCCTCGGCCGGCGCGTATGTAGAAAACCAATAGGTCCGGCGAGGGTTAAGCTGAAAACGGAAAAGGACTACTCTTACTTGACTCTGGATAATAACTGACTCGAGTCGTTACCGGTCACCAAAAGCACACAGTCCCCAAGCTCTAGCTAAGGGATATCTTATAAAAGTATGATGCTTGTATATCATTAGTATCGAGCGCAATCGTACTTTTAGCCAGAAAATAAATATTCGGGTAATTCTCGGACACCCTGTATATCCACATTTGTTCTCGCATAGATCTAATCGATGAACTGTTTCTGACCGCTAGTCTTACAAAAATTTGTTGCAGGTGTCAAATAAAGGACCTTCACCCTAAACTTCTTTTAGGCTTATTTTCTTACCTTTATTTTCTTACAATGGGCATATTATTGTTGTCTATCGGAATCAAAACGCTTTGTGATGTGTTGCAGGGTATGCAAATGAAAATGAATGTATTTGGGTAACATGTTTTATTGATTATAATGCTGAAAGTGTACAGCGCTATTTGCGCAGTGGGACCATTTTAGTTGACACATAGTCGCGCACATTGACTATCGAATGTTAATCTGGCGGTAGGCCAGTCGGTTCGACCAGCTGTTCGCCCTTGCTGTGAGAGCTAAGCGTCCTTTTTCTGCACGTCGACGTGGCTCCTTTTTTAGTGTTCGTATGTAAAGATGGGCTCATGAGAAAATCGTGCCTTGTCTGTATGATACCCATAACGGGAATTCTACATACTTCAGCGTACAAGTTGACCTTGTCCACAGGAAACTACAACTCTGCGCATTTTATTACCAAAAACTCAGCCAGTTTTGCGTGATCACTAATCAGGGTCAAGGTCAGCAATCACCATCTTTAATCAGAGTGAAGGAAAGTGAATCTCTGCGCGTCCCTGCGACACTGCGATTCCAGGATTCCGTCATCTCTGTGTTCTGCAGGCAGACAGTCACACGGCCTTCGTCCCATCCCTAACCGGTTTGACGCACTGCAGTGAGGTCTCACACTGAATGACGATATAGAGACTGCTATGATCGACTTGAAGACGATAGCGTCAAAAGATCTTATCGTGTGCACTGATGAACGTTCTTTTAGTGGTTGGACCCAGTGCCTTTGCGAACTATTTCTTTGATCGGGTGGCGTTATGAAAGTACATACAGATTTTCGAGCTTCCAGTGCTGATTCATTGGTGGTGTTGCAGAACTGCCAACACATCTCTACCCCCCCCCCCCCATTGTCTGTAGGCCACAGGCGCCGTTTTAGCGGTGCCTAAAGCCCCTGCATCTTGCAGAGTGCGGACCGTGTGAGCCGAAGATCCGCCTCAGTCTTGTAATGATGTGTGCTGTCCTGATCTCACCGTGCAGCTGTAGATATTCGGCGTGTTTTCCTATGAGACACGCCGTTCTCTACGATGAATGGGTGCTGACGAATCACTGAACGAATGACGACTAACGGGCGCGGGGCTTGTTCACCGATAGACCGATAATACTGCGTGGTTTCTCCTACCCGTGAGTCATTTCCGAGGGTTGGGTCGGGTAAACGATCTGTCTGCGTAGGAAAATCGGCTCGGATGAGAGCAGGAAAACGTATGTAGAGCGAGCAACGTGCGTGCGGTATATGAGTTGTGCGTGAATATTTTCTAGGTCATCGGAGGTAATAATATTCCACGGACGGTAATCTCATTACCCTACACAATACCAACGCCAGAAGTCTGTAACGTGCAACCGGTGTCAATCCCAAAACCCTATTCTTTTTCAACACGTCAAGTACTGTATATATTTCGGTTACTTATGGTTTGTTACACCCTGTGTTCAAGCTTATATTGCACTGTGCTGATTTAGCATTTTAGGCTTTCGAGTTCAGAAGGAAATGGTGTTTCCAACTATCCCATAACGGTCTTGCAACACTGTGACTTTGCCTTTAAACGCCACTAAAACCATACCTATAACTGATTGTTTGGCTGCTATTTCACACCCATCATAAATCGGTGAAGCTCGACACCGGCCACCCCGCCGCTGACCGAGATTTCCTTGCTTGGATCGTGGTGGCGACCTTGGCAACATGGCCCGTACAATGGTCACCAATACGGACGATCGGGAATTCAAGGGAAAATTAGGCAACGGGCACGCGGATGTTGAAAAGGAAACGTCATTTGCATGTGGTAGGAAACTAGCAAATATGAACGGAGCAGCTCTGTGTTCAGCTCATTAACTATCGACGCACCGGAAATGTTGAGGTTCCGATGAAGCAATATGTTCGAAAGTAGTTTGCAGGCTGTTCTTGCTTGCAGTGTGGAAACTCAACCACTTTATTATTTTTCAAAGTTACACATTGCACCTTATTGGTGCACGATAAAGCATAGCACAACGGTCATTTGAATCGAATTATTTCGCTACTAATATATATTAACACATGGTTTCCCGTGTGTAAATGGTTTTAACGCACGACGTGGTTGGATTGGAGCACGAGTGCGTTAATGCACGAGTGAAACGAGTGCATTAACGCACAAGTGCTCCATTCCATCCACGAGTGCGTTAAAACCATTTATGCACGGAAACCATGTGTTAAACTAATTAATACATGCTTAACGGTGCGAATTTAAATTAAAATTAAACCTAGTCCATGCCACTAAAAAGGGCCCTTTATGGGAAATCTTAGAATAAAGTCAATGACCCTTCCGAAAAACTTCAGTCGAGAAAGTCATCACTGCACGCGCGTGCACCAATTTAAATTGGTGCACGGTTACCTTCGAATTAACGCACGGTTAATCTCCAGTGAACGCACCGCAAAGTATGTATTAATGAAACTTAACGAGACCGTGAGTGGTTACCTTATCCTGTCAAGTACATGGACAGGAGTCGTGCAAGACTGGAGTCATATTTGCTTCGCGATTGCCGAACGATTGTGTATGGTAGAGCAAAGTGGTAGAAAGCATGCCTGTCTTCCTAGTGCTAATTCTGGCTGAAATCCGGCAATCAACTCATCATCGTTTCGTCTCGAAAGTCAATAGTTTTTCTCTCCCTTAAACTCGACTTATCACGACTTTTTCACGACGACGACTTTTTACATACTTAGGATTACTTACATACTTAGGCCTACTTAGGATTCTTGTGTTCGTGTTATGCTTGCCTTTCCGAAAGTGTTTTTTTTTCAATTGTTATTATACGCTTTCCTTTAAACCATCCTTTCGAACGATCGTTTGGAAGTTCGAAAGGCGAGAAGGGAGACGTTTTTTTGTCCTTGTCACAAGAAGGTGGTGTGATAAAAAACGAATTAAATGATCAGTGTAATAAGGGTCGCCACTCGAAGTCAGATTTAAGTCTGCACTATTCACTCTTCCCGTGATAAGTACTCGGTTATATGCAGCACATGTTACGAATGTTACTGAGAGCGCATTGTGCGTCAGCTTTGCAAAATGTGCATACATATGCTACCACCAAACACATCCGCTGGTGCGTTTGTGTACATATTACATATATAAAAATGTTTTATAAAAAAGACGATATCCAACGGACAGCGAACGCCATGGATGCTGTGATTAATAGATCATTACGGCAGCTGATAACCTGACTAATTTATGACTCATAGTCCATCTGTCTGTAACGACGCTGACCTGCGTAACCTGTCGTGTCTTGTCACAGCCTGCGGTTTTATATGAATCAAACCTCAAATGGATCGTGTCAATTCATCTGAACGGATGTAACTTTTTATTTTGCAACATGCCGCTCACTTTCCTGGTATCGCTCAGCTGAAGCTGTATTTCATCTCAACTTATTAAAAACCCTGACCAATTTTCCCGCGCCGCACGAATATCCTCGAGATTGGGACAAAGGCCCGGCCTCTGCAGACCTTGTGCACCGTTGCTCCCACGCTCTGGCGCAGGCGGGGCATCTCGTGCGGCGATTCTGCAGAGGGTGGTCCACCGCATGAGGTGGGTATAAAAGGCCACCTGCACCTCCAACTTCACCGCAGTCAGCTCCTGATCTCAGCTCTCCAGCACCGCTACAATTCTCCAGAAATCATGAAGGTATGTGTTGGTGGTGCTTACAGCGCGACACAGCGTCGTTTCACAACCACTATTCTTATGAACTGTATGCATAGTCGTTCCTCTCTTTGAATGGCTTTCTTGAATGATAACGTTTTTAATTGCAATAATTTTTAAGTTGATGATGATATTTGAGCTGTTTGGCTCAATTATGCATGCATAATATTTTTTTGTTCTTCGTTTTTTTAGTTTTGCAATGAATATATTTTACAAGTCATTCACGCAAAGCTCTGACTCAGATTGACCCAGCTTACTTATTTGCAATGTCCAATTTGTGTAGTTCCAACATTCTGAAACAAAATATCAATTTTATTTGGCAGTTTTTCATATTTGCGATGCCTAATGAATAGCTTGTATTCTTTGGAAGGATGCGGAGTTTTTTTTTTAAATATTATCTTCTATGTATGTGCCAACTGGAACTGTTCAGTTTTCATACCACCTTCTTATCTGACTACATACCCCCCCCCCCCCCCAGCTGGCTATCCTGGTCTGCCTGGTGGCGTCGACCGTCGCCTCTTACGCCGGCGTCGGAGGAGTGAGCGGCATCTCAGCGGTCCGCGCGGCCGGCACCCCGGTCAACCCGTACACCCAGCGGTCCGTGCTGCGTCCCGGCTACGGCCGCCTGGGCGCTCTCGGCGGAGTGGGCGCTCTCGGCCGGGGCGTCGGAGGTCTCGGCCGGGGCGTCGGAAGTCTCGGCTACGGCCAGAGCTACGGCTACGGCGGTGTTGGCCAGCTCGGCCTGGGTGGCCCCGTCGGTCTGGGTGTTGCCCCCCTCGGCGTCGGCTCCGTCGGTGCCGGCGGCTATGGCGGTCCTCTCGTCGGTGGACGTTTTGGACGCGTTGGACTGGCGGGAGCGCCCCTCGCTGGCCTGGGCCGCGGATACGACTACCTGTAATCTGCTGACAACCGATGTAACTGCTCTCTGAACACCACGGCAGTGAAGATTTAACAGCAATGGACATTATGTGATGTGAATGTGTGTGCTGGTGTGTGTAAGTTGAAATAAATAATGATTTGATATAAACAAATGCGGTATAATTTGGTGCGTTAGCCGTAAGGAGCGACTTTCTTCATCTAAAGTGGCCTGACTTACCTCCATTGAGTTTTACATCGATTTCTGTGGCGCAATTTGGCAACGCATCGCTGGATATTCGTTGTTCGACCACATTCAATGCCTTCTTACATACCCACAGGCTTTGCAAAGCTGCGCGAACAGTCACATACTAGGGTTACCCGCGTGCTCCGCAACGCGAAGGGGGGATTTTTTGACCCGTGGGTATTGGGTTGGTCTGTGTCGATTTGGTTGGTAGATATCCATTTCGTTCGATTGCTTTTTGACGGCCAAGCATTTTGTAAGAAAACAAAAAGATACATCGCATCGAGGTGCCCGTGTCGTATTATCATGCGTTCTACTTTAGAATGATTCGAAAACTGGCGTGAAGTCTTTTGAGGGCCATCGATGAATTTCCCTAAAAATGACAATGTAATGGTTTGGAACATTTACATTTTTAAGGATACTGTTGCTAATCATGCAAAAATGAAGAGTGAATATTGGACAGAATTGAATGCTCTATCCAATGGTACCATATTCAATTGCCAAAGGTATCAGGTTATGCAGCAAACCCCGTGTGATTAATAAAATGGCACAAAATTGACAAACACCATTTTCTCCTGTGATTTGCACCACCTTGATTTGGATCAATCAGCTTTTCACAATTTTTATATGAGAGGCGGTACCTTTCTCTTGCAAATAGGCGTTGATTCAACTCGCTCCATTTAACGGTCACCTAAAAATAAAATTAATTCCAAAATCCCTCAAAAACCGCAATTTTCCACATAAAAGTGCCCTCTCCGGTGCACGTGGCGCGTGCCATCCTCTGCATCGTACACCATTCGATAGCCCGTTCAATTATCTACACGATGCTGTTTTTCCCGTGCCGGTCGGACCCCTGGTCACCAAGATATTGCACGGGGACCGGACCCGTGTCGGCCAAAATTAGCCGTTTTCGCCCGATTTCGCACGCCGATTTATACATGTAAAGTCTATGACGCGAATTTGCACTTTTAGGGCACGCGCCACGCGCTCACTAACGACCCGATCGAGCCCAGACCCCTCAAAGGCACGTCGCGCATCCTTGATCTATGAGTTGTGCAAATTTCAACGGGCTAGGTGGAAGGGTCTGACCTGTAGTCCACGCAAAGCACCACCAAGTCGGGACCTCGGTAACGGACAGACGCACCCTCCTCAAATAGTAATATAGACAAGCGGCTGCGCCACTTGCTTTGCTGCGTGGTAGGAAAAAATTGCGGCACCAGCCAATTTGCTTTCGAATGGTGTTCGTTTCAAGTCGATGTGTCGTCTAAAAGCATAGATGTGGACGGAAATGTGTACGGAATTAAAAAAAGAACTGTTCTGAGGGCTTTGTTGGATGAAATTTGGCTGATATGGGGTCAAGACGGGTCAAAGGGGTCAGCCCCGGTCAATTTGGGTCAGGCAAGGTCACAAAGGTCACCTCTCGTCCGATGGAATCAGCCCGGGCCACTGTTCTACTTTTGCCTCCACCACTACCCCTATCCCTACCCCTATCCCTACCACTACCCCTACCACTACCCCTACCACTACCCCTACCCCTACCCCTACCACTACATCTACCTCTACCCCTACCACTACTACTACCCATACTCCTACCCCTACCACTACCCCTACCACTACCCCTACCACTACCCCTACTACTACCCCTACTACTACCCCTACTACTACCCCTACCACTACTACTACTACCCCTACTACTACCCCTACAACTACCACTACCCCTACCACTACCACTACCCCTACCACTACCCCTACCCCTACCCCTACTACTACCCCTACCACTACCACTACCCCTACCCCTACCCCTACCACTACCACTACCCTACCTCTACCACTACCCCTACCACTACCCCTACCACTACCCCTACCCCTACCCCTACCCCTACCCCTACCAACACCGCTGGGTCATGTCAGGTCACAGAATAATTGGATCCCAATCAGTACTAAAATATTAGACTTAAAGTGTTCCCAGCCCTGTTCCTATTCGTGCAATTCCATTACCCTTAATCGAATTTGACGGAAATGGCGCTTTGTGGCAAACGTGGCGCATTGCGGCAAACGCGGCGCATCTGAACCTGTTGGTTGAGCATGCATCCTGGCACCAAATTGTACCCACATCGGACCATATTTGACAAAACTGTGCGATTTGCGGCAAAAATGACGCCCTATGACCAATGTGACGCATTGCGGCAAGCGCCGTGCATTTTTTGCTAATATCACAAACTCTTCCCATTGAACGAAAATCAACACATTCTCTCGCCACTTTTTATTCAAATTAAAACTTGCCCATCCGCCAATGCGAGGCACCCGCCGCCGATCGGCATGCATTTAGCTCACAAAGTTTGTCGACCCCGGCTCTCAATGAAGATCTACGAACCGATCAAAATTTCATTGGCGTTCTTCCAGCGCGCCCCACGCGCGAACCGTGCACCCCAGCGAGTCGGAACCTAGAAAAGGCGCTGACCCGGTCTGTCACCTATAAGGTGTGCAAATTTCAACCCCCTACGATATACCGCCTGCCCTGTAGGCCGGCTAAATTGAACCCACTACACGGCGTGGCGGACAGACAGACAAACAGACGGATCCTGTTCAAATAGTAATATAGACAAGATATCTTGGCTCGCTCCGCGTCGCTTTGGCCATAAAAAGATTCGGGAGAAAATTTGGGATCGAATGGTGTTTTCCCGGTGACGATCGGACGTCTAGAAGCTTCGATATTGGCGAAAAACTTGCTGAACTTGCAAAAGTACTTGGTACTTGCTTGGTACTTGCCAAAGTATCGGTACTTGCCAAAGTACTTGGTACTTGTTTGGTATTTTCATAAGCACTCGGTATTTGCCAAAGTACTTGCTACTTGCTTGGTATTTGCATAAGTACTTGGTACTTGATTGGTACTTGTAAAAGTACTTTGTACTTGCTTGGTACTTGCGAAAGTGCTTGGTACTCGCAAATGTACTTGGTACTGCACTTTTGTATGTTTCGACTACCTGGTCTGTTTTTTGTATGTTTTGAACGTTGTATGTTACGACTTCCATGTATGCTTTGATAAGTGTACGCTGCGGTCTTGTATGCGCTAGACTGCGGTTGTACCGCTAGGTGGCAGCAGCCACCGGTCCGGCCGCCCCAACTGCGGTCCAGGTGGCAGCAGCTGCCGGCAGACTCGGCAGTTTTTCCCGTCGTCGGCGAATCTCCGCAACGGAGGGACCGCCACCGAGTTTGTCACGTGAATCAGCCGCATTCCTGTGAGGCGCGCAATGTTGAAGAGATATGTGTGCACGCAGCTATCTCGCAAGCCCTAAGAGAAAAAGCTCGCTGCAAAAACTCAGCGTTTCAAAAAACCCGAAATCCTACTCAAATGAATAATTAAACAAGATATCTTGGCTCGCTCCGCGTCGCTTTGGCCATAAAGAGATTCGGGAGAAAATTTGGGATCGAATGGTGTTTTTCCGGTGACGATTGGACGTCTAGAAGCTTCGATATTGGCGAAAAACTTGCTGAACTTGCAAAAGTACTTGGTACTTGCTTGGTACTTGCCAAAGTACTCGGTACTTGCCAAAGTACTTGGTACTTGCTTGGTATTTGCATAAGTACTCGGTATTTGCCAAAGTACTTGGTACTTGCTTGGTATTTCCATAAGTACTTGGTACTTGCTTGGTACTGCGAAAGTACTTGGTACTTGCACTCGCCCCCCGTTCCCCCGACTCTACTCCCACACCTACCCCCTCGGGATAATTCCGGGTTCGTCGGGTAGGAAAACTTGCCACTCTACTCCCCCCCCCCCCCACACACACACACAGAGCCATTTGGTATCGATCGGTGTTTATCCCGTGTCAATCGGTCGTCAATAAGCCGAGATATGCACGGCGAATTATTTCAATCGGCGTCGATCAGAATCTTCAGAACGGAGGGACCCACACTCATTTCTGGCCGTATCTCACTTTTCCGAGATTTACGTCAAACTACGTATTTAAAACTACATATTCTACAGCCGAATCTTCAAACTGGGGGTACCTCAGACCGTGGGAACGACTCGGCTCAGCACTGCCGCACGCGCATTCAGCGGCGGCTTGTCGATTTTTCGAGTGTCGGCTGCCGATCTCCCGAGAGCCGGCCACCTGTCAGCCGCCGCTCGGCTCTGTGTTAAGCATATGGGGACGGCGAATTTCTCCCGGAGGGAAGCACCTCGCTCACAAAAGCACGTGAATCAGCCGCATTCCTGTGAGGCGCGCAATGTTGAAGAGATATGTGTGCACGCAGCTATCTCGCAAGCCCTAAGAGAAAAAGCTCGCTGCAAAAACTCAACGTTTCAAAAAACCCGCAATCCTACTCAAATGAATAACTAAACAAGATATCTTGGCTCGCTCCGCGTCGCGTTGGCCATAAAATGATTAAGGAGAAAATTTGGGACCGATTGGTGTTTGTCCCGTGTTGATCGGACGTCTAGAAGCTTAGATATTCGCGAAAAACTTGTTGAACTTGCCAAAATACCCGCCAGCTTGCTGTATCACCTGCTACTTGGTAATGTACTGTAAACTTGCTAATATGCTGAGACTTGTCAAAGGTATTTAATTACCTATTCGTTTTGATTTGTTTTCGATGAATTGTTCGCAATTTGAGTTTTGTTTAATTCAATTTCGTATTTTGTTTCACCTACCCATCATCCCTCACTTGTTTATTGCGTCCTACCTATTAAGCGATTAAACATACGTTGAAAGAGCCGGTGGGTGGTTATAATGCAATACCCTGCACGGTGAACAGCTTGCGAGTTTTGCAGCGGTGCGATTGCTGGGGCTTATCGCTGACTGAAAAGGGTAAATACAGTAAATACAGATGGCTGTGTTGGATCCCTTTGCTTTTGCCCAACATTCAGCGTTGGAATTGTGGCTTTACCGTCCCTCTTATTAAAGTTATCTAACTTTTTGTAGCTTCGTCAGGTTAGACACGACGCGCGCGGCGGTATCCATCTGGCGGCCGCTGGCGGAACTACCGCGCACGGCCCGCTTGCCGCACGGGCCTGGCGGCCGCCAGTGGAACTACTGCGCAGGTGGCAGCACCTGCCCGTGGAGAAGCGGCTGGCAATTGGCCGCCCCACTCCCCACCCCGCCCCCACCCAGCTGGCCGCCAGACCGTGGGAACGACTCGGCTTAGCACTGCCGCACGCGCATTCAGCGGCGGGTTGTCGATTTTTCGAGTGTCGGCTGCCGATCTCCCGAGAGCCGGCCACCTGTCAGCCGCCGCTCGGCTCTGTGTTAAGCATATGGGGTATCTCACTTTTCCGAGATCTACGTCAAACTACGTATTTAAAACTACATATTCTACAGCCGAATCTTGAAACTGAGGGTACCTCACTCACAATCGCACGTGATTCAGCCGCATTCCTGTGAGGCGCGCAATGTTGAAG